AAACCAAACAGAGTGTATACCAAACAGTACGTATACCAAACAGTAGATATACCAAATAGCACGTATACAAAACAGTACGTATACCAAACAGTACATATACCAAACAGAGTGTATACCAAACATTACGTGTACCAAACAGTACGTATACCAAACAGTACGTATACCAAGAAAAGGTTCTTTTATAAATAAAGGGAGAACGGGCAGTCCGTTCCCATTAAAAAAAAAAAGATATTATTGGTCCCCGTGTAGGTTCCGGCTTCCCATTGTGGGGAAAACAAGAATTGACCCACTTCCTTTGAAGTCGGAGTGCATTCAAGTGAATCAGATCTGTAAAACTGATGCACACGCAACACTAAGGTTCTGGACCAGGACTGCAGTTCAGAAGTGGACGAAAAACCATAACTTTCCGCCCGAGTGTACAGCTGGTGAACGCGAAGAAAAAGAAGAAGAATTGTTATTGGCACTTTATACATTGATAGGGTTGTATACAAAATGGGGCCATCCTCCAAATAACGGGCACATTTTATGGCGGCCGCAAAAACACCCTAACAGGGCCTCAGTCACGTGTCAATTGCGCCTTTCCGGTGACCTAATTTGCGAACTTCCATCCACTACACCCACCGCCGAGAGTATCCCCCACGCCGAGTGAGCGACGTGCATTGGGGCTAAAATAGATGGCTAGGAATCATGAGCAGCAGCTTCCGCATCTCCTACAGCTTTGCTCATGAATCCCAGCCATCTTGTTTAGCCTCAATCCACGCCGCGTGAGCGGCCTGGGGTATACACTCGGCGGTGGCGGTAGTCGCCGGAAATTCGCTATTTACATGTGACTGAGGCGCCGTAATATGTGCCCGTTATTCGGAAGATAGCCCAAAATTTATAAACCGACAAATACTACTTCTTTCGTTCGCTTCAAATAGATTATCTGTTATCTGCAATGTTGTCTCTAGTATGAGCTCACTGTATTTTGTAATTCACTCAGCGACCCGTAAAGTTCTGGCTTGCCCAGATGTTTCCCTTGGCCAAAAGTGTTGCCTTGATATGTTGTACTTAGGACTGTCTTGGAGGGTGTGATCTGTTGTCTCAGGTGCTAATCCACATATGCATATGGCTGATTCGCCAATCTTAAATTGTGTGTACATGTGGCTGCAAAGTCGATTATGTTCTGTTCTAAGGCGTAGACAAATGACTTGCTCTGGTCTGTCCATAATATGATAATCGTCTTGTGCCGGGTTTGGTGGTTTTCTGATTGATTTGATCAATCTTTTCTTCTGTTGATAAGACACGGGTACGTCAGGTTGTTTTTTAGTTGCACTTTGCCTAGCTAGTTTATCAGCTCTTTCATTTCCGGGAACTCCACAGTGGGACGGTATCCATTGCATAGTTACCTTACACCAGATGCCTAGTTTAGAGAGTAGTGGTAATTTTCTAGTCCTGAGAGCCTGAAGTACCGCTCTTGCATCTGACAGGAATACCACTGGTTGTGAAACATACCCAGTATTTAGTAGTTTCTCTGCTAGCATCTTGAAGGCTGGAACTTATCATAGCTGTGACAATGCTTTCCTGTTGGTATTTTTGACTAAACCTCGGGTGTTATTTAGATGCACAATGTAAACACCCGCTCCTCCATTTCTACTGATCCATCCGTGTAGACACGACCCCAAAGATCCTATGGGTACTCATCATCAAGTAGCCTGAGGGTGGCTGCTCTGCGTTGCACACTGTTGCACACTTTCTTGTTAAATTCCTCTTTCAGTTCTGTCTGGGTTGAATGTTGAATTAGGATCGACAACACAGCACTCGTAAACTCCCATAAGCGCTCTGTCCCCATCTTCAGCAGCAAATGTGTATTGGCAACTTATATTCTTTTCTCCAGGTGGGGTCCTATCTGGAATAACGTTTAAGGGGCTATCAGTTGCAGGCAAATCACTGGTTTGTCAGCAGAGCTGTTTGGCCTGGTGGAAGAAACTGCTTCTTATTAGTCGCCCCATTGCTAGATTTGGTAATCTTTCTTTCACTGGATGTCCAGGCATTCTTTGGAACTTTTTTTTTCTGCCTCATAATAAAATGCCTAACGAAAAAGTGACTTGGTGAAAAAATCAAAAATATCTGTCTGTCTGTCATGTCCCGTCTGTCTGTCTCGTCTGTCTCGTCTGTCTGTCTGTCTCGTCTGTCTGTCTCGTCTGTCTGTCTCGTCTGTCTCGTCTGTCTGTCTCGTCTGTCTGTCCTGTCTGTCCTGTCTGTCCTGTCTGTCTGTCCTGTCTGTCCTGTCTGTCTGTCTGTCTGTCTGTCTGTCTGTCTGTCTGTCTGTCTGTCTGTCTGTCTGTCTGTCTGTCTGTCTGTCTGTCTGTCTGTCTGTCTGTCTGTCTGTCTGTCTGTCTGCCTGTCTGTCTGTCTGTCTGTCCTGTCTGTCCTGTCTGTCTGTCCTGTCTGTCTGTCTGTCCTGTCTGTCTGTCTGTCTGTCTGTCTGTCTGTCTGTCTGTCTGTCTGTCTGTCTGTCTGTCTGTCTGTCTGTCTGTCTGTCTGTCTGTCTGTCCTGTCTGTCTGTCTGTCTGTCTGTCTGTCTGTCTGTCTGTCTGTCTGTCTGTCTGTCCTGTCCTGTCTGTAATTATGTATATATGTGTGTAGTATGTATGTGTGTCAAGTACATTACTATATGTCTGTTTGTATGTCTAAGTGTATTACTATATGTCTGTCTGTATGCCTTTCTATGTATGTTTTACCAGTGTATGTCTGCTTCAGTGGCTGTACGTCTCTGTCTGTCAGCGATTGGTGTATGTTTATTTTTGTCATACATCACTTTATACGTTTTACTAATACAAACATCCACGTGTTTTTCATTGATCCTATTTTTGATGGCTCCTAATTCATTTCGAAATTTCTTTTTTGCTCTCGCTTTCTACCCCCAACCTCTCCCTTGCTCTCTCGCTCTTTCTCTTCGTCTCTCTCTCTCTCTCTCATCTCTCTCTCTCACTCTCTCTCTCTCTCTCTCTCTCTCTCTCTCTCTCTCTCTCTCTCTCTCTCTCTCTCTTTCTACCCTATACTTCGTCAAGCAATTCATACAACTATTCCAAGTGCCATCGCCCCTTCTTACAGTTGACAATAATTTGGAGTATTTCACACAACGCCGAAGTCCCGGCTCCCATTGTAGGCGGGGCTGATCGTCACAGATCTTAGTCAGCGAAACCTCCTATTGGCTATCAATATGACATACCATCGACCTGACAAGCAGAGCCCCGCCTTCCTGCTTTGAATAACGTGAGAACAGACATTCCGAGCTTTAGGGCAGCCAGTCCGTTTGTTGAGTAAAACCTTAAGTCAACACTTGGGCTTTTGTTTGTTCCGGGCTGAGGATGTTCTTGCGGCTTAGCCCCGTCATTAGCTGGCTCAGACGATCTTCTTGTCTGAAAAAACCAGAGAAACATGGCAGGAGAGATGCGAACAAAGACAGTGCAGACACTCTGAGAATCGTTCAGTAGAAAAAGCACAGTTAACGTGAGGAAGTTGATTCGTTAAATGGACTGCAACTAAACGTGCGGGGTGAGTTTATTGTCTTAGATGAAATCAAGTGTGGCATATAAATAATATTTTAATTTATATGTGAGAACACTAGGTCATCAAACACTGTCTATGAAATAACACGAAAATCTATTAAAACTTACATCATTTGAAGAATTCAAGTGGATTTAATATTTCCAAACAAATATAATTAACAGGTATTGCATGTTTTTAAAAACAATATTCACCATTTTTATAAACTAATTATTTGTTTGTTTATTTATGTGGGTGTTGATTATGAAACGAAAAGTCATTGTGAGAAATATTTAACACAGGAAAGACAATCGTGTCTATTGAATAACCACGGGGATCATCATAAACAGGTTATTTACTATCTGGTCTATGGATAGCACAAAACTTTCGTAGCAGATTATCTATTCTGTTTATGGGAGTAAACAGATTGATTTTTGTCTCGTGAAAATGGCAGTCCTTTCCTTAATAGTTAGCCTATCTGGCCGACCAAGTCACATAGCTTTCGTAAACAGTTTATCTCTCTAGACGAACGAGTCAAAAAGCTTTCGAAACAGCTCATCTATATAGCCGACCAAGTCACATAGCTATCATAAACAGCTCATCTATATAGCCGACCAAGTCACATAGCTATCATAAACAGCTCATCTATATAGCCGACCCAGTCACATAGCTATCATAAACAGCTCATCTATATAGCCGACCCAGTCACATAGCTATCATAAACAGCTCATCTATATAGCCGACCAAGTCACATAGCTATCATAAACAGCTCATCTATATAGCCGACCCAGTCACATAGCTTTCATAAACAGCTCATCTATATAGCCGACCAAGTCACACAGCTTTCATAAACAGCTCATCTATATAGCCGACCCAGTCACATAGCTATCATAAACAGCTCATCTATATAGCCGACCCAGTCACATAGCTATCATAAACAGCTCATCTATATAGCCGACCCAGTCACATAGCTATCATAAACAGCTCATCTATATAGCCGACCCAGTCACATAGCTTTCATAAACAGCTCATCTATATAGCCGACTATACAGCTTTCGTAAACAGTTTATCTCTCTAGACGAACGAGTCAAAAAGTCCTGGTCGACCAAGTCACCGAGATTTTGTAAACAGTTAATCTGTTTGGCCGACCAAGGCACACAGCTTCCGTAAACAGTGAATCTGTTTGGCCGACCAAGTCACACAGCTTTCATAAACAGTTACCCTACGTGCCTGACGGCGTTACATAATTATCGGAAACTGATTCTTTTTCCACGTTTGAAAGTTCATTATATGCAGTAGACGAGATCCACAATGCAAATCTTTTGAGTAACCTGATAAGAAAATTGCAGTCTGTGTTCATGTGTGTACCTTGGTAGACAAAGTTAGCAGACATTTCACAGATTAGAAAATAGTGCAAAAGCTGTATTCTGAATCAAACAGGGACGAAATTAGGCGAGTCAAGACAAGAGATGGATCTAAGTGTGAGGAAGAGAACTGGCTACGATATTGAGAGCCTGCTGGGTGATATTGCTGGGAAGGAAGTAGTGACTGAGGATGTCAGAGAAGAGAATCCTTCCTCTGGGGAGGATGATATTAACAACAATCAAGGTAAAACTGAGTGTCCACTTCTCTGAAAGCGTTGTTTTCTTTATCGTCACTATTATCGTCATTATTATGATGATTGTGTATTCACAATCGTCACAACCACTACTATCACTTTCACCATCATCATCACTGCCACAACCATCATCATCAAGATACTTATCACAACCATCATCCCCACCCCCATTACCACCATCATCATCATCAAGATAATTATCACAACGACGATCCCCAGGCAACCACCATCATCATCAAGATAATTATCACAACCACCATCCCCACCCCAACCACCATCACCATCATCATCAAGATAATCATCACCATCACCACTTTATCCATAATCCCCATCACCATCATCATCACCATCATCAAGATCACCATCACCCCCAACCACCACCATCACAACTGATTTTTACATTACTAGTTTGGCTCCTATACATTATTTTTTTTATAATTTTCTAGAATTACTGCAAGGGCATGTACTCTTCTGTTATGTTATATTCTGTTATGTTATGTTCTGTTATTTTCTGTTATGTTCTGTTATATTATATAGTCACAGTCGACGTCACTGCAGTCTAGGAATTCCCACGCCGGCTCAGTCCCCAGAAGCTGCAGCCGTTCAAAGAAAGAGACTCTAAAGGAACCTACGCCTATTTTAAGTGCTTAATAATAATAATGTGAGCTGAAGGGCAAACAAATATAAACATAAATTTAAAATAATATGAAATGTAGAAACGCAACATTTTCTGAAAGCTTCTATATATACTTCCAGCTGGAGGGGGGTAGCTAAGCTGTCGGCTGGTGTCAGTACGGGGCTAGGTTTGGGGGGGGGGGCGTCATGGCGCCTCAGCCACTAGGCTCCGATCCTTTTGGTTGAAATAAAAACATAGGGTGTATTTTTAATGACTGCAGACTTTAAAAAATCAATTATTTGTGCACCGTAATTAAATTTGTGTGTTACATCATGTTTTAAGCGCCATGTAACCGTTTGTTTAGAATATAACTGCTATGTACCGGTGTTTTAGTTATAGGTCTTAGCTGTAATGGTATAAATTATTAAAGAAAGATTATTTCTGGTTGCACATGTGTCCCGTAACAGTGGCAGGTATTCAAATATGGGCTATCCTCCGTATAAGGGCACAAAAGATAGCGGCCTCAAAAACACCCTAACAGAGCCTCAGTCACGTATCAATTGCGCACTTCCGGCTACTTAATTTGCGGTTTTCCGGAATCCTATCTGAAGAAGATATATATATATATATCTTCTTCAGATTTTACAGCACAGCAATTGTGCCTATGCTGCGTCTTATCCTGTTACTCCTTCTCATCTTCCTTCGTTGTCTAACGATAATGATACTATGATGCTGACAATAATGAAAATGGTTTGAGCGATAATGTTATGGCGATGTTGGCTGTGATTTAATTATAATAATAACGATAATAAAATGACAGAGCTAACGCAACGCTGATAATATTTTAACGGTAATAATTATAAGGATATAAGCAGTAACACAACATCAATATTCTAGTGCTGATAATAGAAGTATTGTTTTTTAAAGAAACCGACGACACCAAGATATTATTGACAATAATATAATAATACATATTTTAATGATGAAAATATCGACTTAGGAACCAACGGTGAACTTTATACTATTAATAATTATGGAGATTTTATATCGACTCTGTAATGGGGATGTTATGTTGTTGTTTGTAGTTTGTTATCTGTAGTTTGTTGTTTGTAGTTTGTTGTTTGCAGTTTGTACCTTCCAGAGCTGCAGTTTGCTGGATTGACACCCCAAGGATGAGGATTCCACCTGCAAAAATCCCGTTAGGCCCCGCTCAGTGTGAGGTTGTACTGAGGCACCCGACGGTTATGATCAGTGCTGGATTTAGGTTTAAATTAACGAAGTTAAAGCTAGAGCCTCACAATCTACAGGGGCTTCAATATTCCCATTTTTCACTTTCTTTTAACATACTGTATATATATATATATATGATATATATATATATTATATATATATATATATATATATATATATATATATAATATATTTAAAACAGAGCCTTCCAGAGGATTATCTCATATAATTTATGTGAGTCTGCAAACATAGTCTTTTACCCCCCCCCCCCCACCCCCCCCCCCCCCCCCCTCCCTCACCCCCAGAAAAAAAAAAATGGAAATAGTCCTGTTTTTTTTTGTGTGTGTGGTTCTTTGTTGTTGTTGTTTAATCTAGCAATAAGCTAGAGGATAGAACATACGAATTACTCTTTGCAGATGACCAGACCTTGATAGCAGATACAGCCATGAAATTGATGAATAAAAAATGTAAAACAAATAATATGAGAATCAACACTGAAAAGACAGAAGTAATGTCAATAGGAAAAAAGAAGACAGATCTAAACAAAGCAATAGAGTACAAAGGCATTAGGCATCTGAGTTTAAATATTTGGGAACTACATTTACTGAAGATGGGAAATTGGATAAAGAAATTAACATTAGATGCAGTAAAGCAAACCAAGTATTGGGACAGCTAGCTCCCCTCTTACAGCATAAGATAATCCCAATCAGCACAAAGAGACATCTTATTCAAAGCATATTTATTCCAACTCTGTGCTACCAGTGCCAGACATGGTCACTCACAACAAACCATAAAAGAAAATTAGTAACCATGGAAATGAGATGTCTGAGAAGGGCTGTAGGAGTGACCATAAGAGATAAGATCAGGAATGAGATCATAAGAGAAAAAGTCGGCACAGAACCAATTCTAAATTACATACAAAGACAGCAAGTGAAATGGTTTGCCCACTTAGAGAGAATGCCTTGCGACACCATACCATACAAAGCATACATGGAAAGAGAAGAAGGACGTAGATCAAGAGGTAGACCAAGAACAAGATGGAAGGATAACATCAGAGAAACTCTACAACAGCACGATGTGCCTATGGTTGAGGCGGCCAGAAGAGCTAGAAACAGAACCTTAAATCTCCCTCGACACCCACAGCGGTAAAAGAGTAAGTGAAGAAGAAGAAGAAGATAGAACATACACTTATATTTATATATGCAGACTTATTTAGATTTCATAGTTTCTGGATCCTTTTCATGTCTGAAAGTATTGATGAGAATTGACACTGTAACGTATGTTTTCAGTGCATATTGTTTCGTTTATTTCTTGGCAACAATAGTTTGCACTTTAATATCTTTGTCGAGCAAGTAATTAACCATTTTACCCCAGCTACCCAGAAATAAGGGATGGTGGTGGGGTGTAGGGCGAACTGACTGGCTTGGGATGTCGCGTTTTTATCTGATAATATTAGTTGGATGTCCCGTTTTGATCGCAAAATATTAGTGGGATTTCCCGTTTTGATCTCAAAATATTGGTGGGATTTCCCGTTTTGATCTCAAATGTTACTGGGATGTCCTGTTTTCAGTTACAGATTTTATGGCTACCCTTGGTCGGTGTGATGCAGATTACTTCCTCCATAAGGTGCCCTGTATTATCCTATATAACTCGGTCTGTCTGTCTGTCTGTCTGTCTGTCTGTCTGTCTGTCTGTCTGTCTGTCTGTCTGTCTGTCTGTCTGTCTGTCTGTCTGTCTGTCTGTCTGTCTGTCTGTCTGTCTGTCTGTCTGTCTGTCTGTCTGTCTGTCTCTCTCTCTCTCTCTCTCTCTCTCTCTCTCTCTCTCTCTGTCTCTCTCTCTACAAAAGCGCGATGCCTACCAAGGAGTCACACACAAGCACGAACTACCTTACTCCAGTAACGATCTCTATGGATCTGTAAAAACTGCACTGGTGTACAGAACGCTGACTCTGTGTAACGAAGGATAGAATTAGATAATGTGCCCACTGGATAAGCATTAAAGTGTTCAATAAAAGTATTTGATTTCAGAAGACAAATAATTTTTTCTCACTCCTTCAGGCGCATGGGGCATATAGGGCTAGCATGTAAACAGTGGACCAAGCGGTGAAAAAGAGTCACTGGCGTTGGATAGGACACATACAGAGAAAAACTGCGAACAGTACAACTAGAATGTCGTTGTGCTGGAACTCACAAGGGCATAGACATAAAGCAGACCAAAAATACATAGACGATGCAGCTAGAGAGTGAAGTCAACGTATGGTGAGTTGCTACCTACCGATAACAGTTTAACTGCTGTCTGCGCAGGGATTTCGACGCAATTGGGTCAGACCTATTTTCCTCAGCTGCTCTGGAAGTCGAAGTCAACTTGTGAGAAATCCATGTCTTCATGTATCTCCACCAATGCCAGTCCCAGACCCGGATGAGAAAGGAGGAGAGTTTGGCACGAAGCTGGTACTGGTGGTCTCTCAGCTCCCCTTATAATTTCAGAGGTGAACTTAAGCCTTGTTTAAGTGCGCAATTATTGTAATAATTACTAGTATGTGCTGAGTGATAGTTTAACACATTTTAAATTTAAAAAAAAAAAAAAACGAAATTTATGACCACATACCTACTAGGGCAAGGGTTCTCAACCTTCCTAATGCCGTGACCCTTTAATACAGTTCCTTATGTTGTGGCGACCCTTTAATGCAGATCCTCATGTTATGGTGACCCTTTAATACAGTTCATCGTGTTGTGGTGATCCGCAACCATACAATAATTTTTGTTGTTACTTTATAGCTTCAGTGAATATGTGTTAGGCCACCCATGGAAAAGGCTCGTTCGACCCACAAAAGGGTCGCGACACATAGGTTTAGAACCGCTGTACTAGGGGAACGTTAGGAATGATTACGAGAGGAAAGGAGATTTAAAGCCCCATGCAAAACTTTCCAGGTGTGATCCGGGGAAGGGAGGGATAGAGTCCCAGCATCCCGAGGGCGGCGGTGTGGGGGGGGGGGGGCAAAGGTATCCCAGCCACCGGGTTCCGTCGACTATGGATGTTCTTCTTCTTCTTATTCGCGTTCACCGATGGTGGACTCCGGCGGAAAGTTGTGGTTGTTCATTCACTTCTGGACTTTGGTCTGGTTCTGTACTATCTGCCACAGCG